GTGAGTTGCAGCGATACACGTGAGTTGCAGCGATCCACTTGAGTTGCAGCGATACACGTGAGTTGCAGCGATACACATGAGTTGCCAGCGATACACGTGAGTTGCAGCGATACACGTGAGTTGCAGCGATACACGTGAGTTGCAGCGATACACGTGAGTTGCAGCGATACACGTGAGTTGCAGCGATACACGTGAGTTGCAGCGATAAACTTGAGTTGCAGCGATACACGTGAGGTGCAGCGATACACGTGAGTTGCAGCGATACACGTGAGTTGCAGCGATACACGTGAGTTGCAGCGATACACGTGAGTTGCCAGCGATACACGTGAGTTGCAGCGATACACGTGAGTTGCCAGCGATACACGTGAGTTGCCAGCGATACACGTGAGTTGCCAGCGATACACGTGAGTTGAAGCGATACACTTGAGTTGCCAGCGATACACGTGAGTTGCAGCGATACACGTGAGTTGCAGCGATACACGTGAGGTGCAGCGATACACGTGAGGTGTAGCGATACACGTGAGTTGCCAGCGATACACGTGAGTTGCAGCGATACACGTGAGGTGCAGCGATACATGTGAGTTGCAGCGATACACGTGAGTTGCAGCGATACATGTGAGTTGCAGCGATACACGTGAGTTGCCAGCGATACACGTGAGTTGCAGCGATACACGTGAGTTGCAGCGATACACGTGAGTTGCAGCGATCCACTTGAGTTGCAGCAATACACGTGAGTTGCAGCGATACACGTGAGTTGCAGAGATACACGTGAGTTGCCAGCGATACACGTGAGTTGCCAGCGATACACGTGAGTTGCAGCGATACACGTGAGTTGCCAGCGATACACGTGAGTTGCAGCGATACACGTGAGTTGCAGCGATACACGTGAGTTGCCAGCGATACACGTGAGTTGCAGCGATACACGTGAGTTGCAGCGATACACGTGAGTTGCAGCGATACACGTGAGTTGCCAGCGATACACGTGAGTTGCAGCGATACACGTGAGTTGCAGCGATACACGTGAGGTGCAGCGATACACATGAGTTGCAGAGATACACGTGAGTTGCAGCGATACACGTGAGTTGCCAGCGATACACGTGAGTTGCAGCGATACACGTGAGTTGCAGCGATACACGTGAGTTGCAGCGATACACGTGAGTTGCCAGCGATACACGTGAGTTGCAGCGATACACGTGAGTTGCAGCGATACACGTGAGTTGCAGCGATACACGTGAGTTGCAGCGATACACGTGAGTTGCAGCGATACACGTGAGTTGCAGCGATACACTTGAGTTGCAGCGATACACGTGAGGTGCAGCGATACACGTGAGTTGCAGCGATACACGTGAGTTGCAGCGATACACGTGAGTTGCAGCGATACACGTGAGTTGCCAGCGATACACGTGAGTTGCAGCGATACACGTGAGTTGCCAGCGATACACGTGAGTTGCCAGCGATACACGTGAGTTGCCAGCGATACACGTGAGTTGCAGCGATACACGTGAGTTGCAGAGATACACGTGAGTTACCAGCGATACACGTGAATTGCAGCGATACACGTGAGTTGCAGCGAAACACGTGAGTTGCAGTGATACACGTGAGTTGCCAGCGATACACGTGAATTGCAGCGATACACGTGAGTTGCAGCGATACACGTGAGTTGCAGCGATACACGTGAGTTGCAGCGATACACGTGAGTTGCAGCGATACACGTGAGTTGCCAGCGATACACGTGAGTTGCAGCGATACACGTGAGTTGCAGCGATACACGTGAGTTGCAGCGATACACGTGAGTTGCAGCGATACACGTGAGTTGCCAGCGATACACGTGAGTTGCAGCGATACACGTGAGTTGCAGAGATACACGTGAGTTGCCAGCGATACACGTGAGTTGCAGCGATACACGTGAGTTGCAGCGATACACGTGAGTTGCCAGCGATACACGTGAGTTGCCAGCGATACACGTGAGTTGCCAGCGATACACGTGAGTTGCAGCGATACACGTGATTGCCAGCGATACACGTGAGTTGCAGCGATACACGTGAGTTGCAGCGATACACGTGAGTTGCCAGCGATACACGTGAGTTGCCAGCGATACACGTGAGTTGCCAGCGATACACGTGAGTTGCCAGCGATACACGTGAGTTGCAGCGATACACGTGAGTTACCAGCGATACACGTTAGTTGCCAGCGAGATACACGTGAGTTGCAGCGATACACGTGAGTTGCAGCGATACACTTGAGTTGCCAGCGATACACGTGAGTTGCCAGCGATACACGTGAGTTGCAGCGATACACGTGAGTTGCCAGCGATACACGTGAGTTGCCAGCGATACACGTGAGTTGCCAGCGATACACGTGAGTTGCCAGCGATACACGTGAGTTGCAGCGATACACGTGAGTTGCAGCGAAACACGTTAGTTGCCAGCGATACACGTGAGTTGCAGCGATACACGTGAGGTGCAGCGATACACGTGAGTTGCAGCGATACACGTGAGTTGCAGCGATACACGTGAGTTGCAGCGATACACGTGAGTTGCAGCGATACACTTGAGTTGCAGCGATACACGTGAGTTGCAGCGATACACGTGAGTTGCAGCGATACACGTGAGTTGCAGCGATACACGTGAGTTGCCAGCGATACACGTGAGTTGCAGCGATACACGTGAGTTGCAGCGAAACACGTGAGTTGCAGCGATACACGTGAGTTGCAGCGATACACGTGAGTTGCCAGCGATACACGTGAGTTGCAGCGATACACGTGAGTTGCAGCGAAACACGTGAGTTGCAGCGATACACGTGAGTTGCCAGCGATACACGTGAATTGCAGCGATACACGTGAGTTGCCAGCGATACACGTGAGTTGCCAGCGATACACGTGAGTTGCAGCGATACACGTGAGTTGCAGCGATACACGTGAGTTGCAGCGATACACGTGAGTTGCAGCGATACACGTGAGTTGCCAGCGATACACGTGAGTTGCAGCGATACACGTGAGTTGCAGTGATACACGTGAGTTGCAGCGATACACGTGAGTTGCAGCGATACACGTGAGTTGCCAGCGATACACGTGAGTTGCAGCGATACACGTGAGTTGCAGCGAAACACGTGAGTTGCAGTGATACACGTGAGTTGCCAGCGATACACGTGAATTGCAGCGATACACGTGAGTTGCCAGCGATACACGTGAGTTGCCAGCGATACACGTGAGTTGCAGCGATACACGTGAGTTGCAGCGATACACGTGAGTTGGCAGCGATACACGTGAGTTGCAGCGATACACGTGAGTTGCAGCGATACACGTGAGTTGCCAGCGATACACGTGAGTTGCAGCGATACACGTGAGTTGCAGCGATACACGTGAGTTGCAGCGATACACGTGAGTTGCAGCGATACACGTGAGTTGCCAGCGATACACGTGAGTTGCCAGCGATACACGTGAGTTGCCAGCGATACACGTGAGTTGCCAGCGATACACGTGAGTTGCAGCGATACACGTGAGTTGCAGCGATACACGTTAGTTACCAGCGATACACGTGAATTGCAGCGATACACGTGAGTTGCCAGCGATACACGTGAGTTGCAGCGATACACGTGAGTTGCAGCGATACACGTTAGTTACCAGCGATACATGTGAATTGCAGCGATACACGTGAGTTGCAGCGATACACGTGAGTTGCAGCGATACACGTGAGTTGCAGCGATACACGTGAGTTGCCAGCGATACACGTGAGTTGCAGCGATACACGTGAGTTGCAGCGAAACACGTGAGTTGCAGCGATACACGTGAGTTGCCAGCGATACACGTGAATTGCAGCGATACACGTGAGTTGCCAGCGATACACGTGAGTTGCCAGCGATACACGTGAGTTGCAGCGATACACGTGAGTTGCAGCGATACACGTGAGTTGCAGCGATACACGTGAGTTGCAGCGATACACGTGAGTTGCCAGCGATACACGTGAGTTGCAGCGATACACGTGAGTTGCAGCGATACACGTGAGTTGCAGCGATACACGTGAGTTGCAGCGATACACGTGAGTTGCCAGCGATACACGTGAGTTGCAGCGATACACGTGAGTTGCAGCGAAACACGTGAGTTGCAGCGATACACGTGAATTGCAGCGATACACGTGAGTTGCCAGCGATACACGTGAGTTGCCAGCGATACACGTGAGTTGCCAGCGATACACGTGAGTTGCAGCGATACACGTGAGTTGCAGCGATACACGTGAGTTGCCAGCGATACACGTGAGTTGCAGCGATACACGTGAGTTGCAGCGATACACGTGAGTTGCAGCGATACACGTGAGTTGCAGCGATACACGTGAGTTGCCAGCGATACACGTGAGTTGCAGCGATACACGTGAGTTGCAGCGATACACGTGAGTTGCAGCGATACACTTGAGTTGCAGCGATACACGTGAGGTGCAGCGATACACGTGAGTTGCAGCGAAACACGTGAGTTGCAGCGATACACGTGAGTTGCCAGCGATACACGTGAATTGCAGCGATACACGTGAGTTGCCAGCGATACACGTGAGTTGCAGCGATACACGTGAGTTGCAGCGATACACGTTAGTTGCCAGCGATACACGTGAGTTGCAGCGATACACGTGAGTTGCCAGCGATACACGTGAGTTGCCAGCGATACACGTGAGTTGCAGCGATACACGTGAGTTGCAGCGATACACGTGAGTTGCAGCGATACACGTGAGTTGCAGCGATACACGTGAGTTGCCAGCGATACACGTGAGTTGCAGCGATACACGTGAGTTGCAGCGATACACGTGAGTTGCAGCGATACACGTGAGTTGCAGCGATACACGTGAGTTGCCAGCGATACACGTGAGTTGCAGCGATACACGTGAGTTGCAGCGAAACACGTGAGTTGCAGCGATACACGTGAGTTGCCAGCGATACACGTGAATTGCAGCGATACACGTGAGTTGCCAGCGATACACGTGAGTTGCAGCGATACACGTGAGTTGCAGCGATACATGTTAGTTGCCAGCGATACACGTGAGTTGCAGCGATACACGTGAGTTGCAGCGAAACACGTGAGTTGCAGCGATACACGTGAGTTGCCAGCGATACACGTGAGTTGCAGCGATACACGTGAGTTGCAGCGATACACGTGAGTTGCAGCGATACACGTGAGTTGCAGCGATACACGTGAGTTGCCAGCGATACACGTGAGTTGCAGCGATACACGTGAGTTGCAGCGATACACGTGAGTTGCAGCGATACACGTGAGTTGCAGCGATACACGTGAGTTGCCAGCGATACACGTGAGTTGCAGCGATACACGTGAGTTGCAGCGAAACACGTGAGTTGCAGCGATACACGTGAGTTGCCAGCGATACACGTGAATTGCAGCGATACACGTGAGTTGCCAGCGATACACGTGAGTTGCAGCGATACACGTGAGTTGCAGCGATAGACGTTAGTTGCCAGCGATACACGTGAGTTGCAGCGATACACGTGAGTTGCCAGCATGTGTGTTGTATATGTCTCTACATATAGTTTTGAGACGTCTCAAAACTCTACTTATCTCTGCTAGAGACGTCTCAAAACTCTACATATCTCTGCTAGAGAGTGGCCGACACTCTCCCATTTCCCAACATCAGCCCAGTGCTGGAGAGTGGTGGTCACCTCCCATCTCACATCTCACACCTGTCCCTTGTCTCTCCCCCTCCCTCCTCCCCCTGCTCCCCCAAGATCAGCCTGGTGTTGGAATGTGGGGGGCGTGTTTTATCTGACGCCTGTGCCTTGTCCTCCCCCTCCCCACCCCGTCTCCCCTCTTCATCAGTCCGGTGTTGGAGAGTGGGGGTCGCTTTGGACGCAGCAGCGAGGCGGCCAGCAAGTACATTCGCTTCACAGCCGGCCGCTCTGGCCTCCCTCCGCCCACCCTTGCCGCTTGTCTCTTTTCCTTCCACACTTCCCACCCCTCCCCCCACCCCCACAATCAGTCCGGTGTTGGAGAGCGGCGGTCGGTTTGGGCGCAGCAGCGAGGCGGCCAGCAAGTACATTCGGTTCACGGAGGAGGGCCTGGACTCGCTGCTCAACGAGTTCTTCCAGGGCAGGGAGAGCCGCAACATCCTCCTCACTCAACCCGCTGCCCGCTAGTCTTCATGCGTGTCCATGCGTGTCCATGCGTGTCCATGCGTGTCCATGCGTGTCCATGCGTGCCCATGCGTGCCCATGCGTGCCCATGCGTGCCCATGCGTGCCCCACCTATGCATGCCCCACACGTGCCCCACACGTGCCCCACACGTGCCCCGCATGTGTCCCATACGTGTTTCATTCATACGTACCCCGCACATCTCCCACACATGTCCCACACATGTCCCACACATGCATCACACATGCACCACACATGCACCACACATGCCGCACACGTGCACCACATGTGCCCTATGCATGCCCCACACGTGCCCCGCATGCGTCCCATACGTGTTCCATCCATACGTGCCCCACACGTGCTATGGTCATGGTTCGCGCATAGAGGCACTTAGGAAATCAATTATGAATTAGTTGCTTCCACCAACCATGGATGTTGGACCACATACCAGTGCAGTATCCACCTAGTCCTGTATAAAATCGCCGCTTATAATTTACTTTCCAGTGGTTAGGCAGCTTCCGTGCTGTTTCGTCGTGTTACTGCAATCGCACAATTAGACCTTGGTTTGGTACGTATGGATGAAACACGTATGGGACACATGCGGGGCTGGGGGCTTGGCCCTTTTCTGAGTTGCAAATGAAACTTCACTTTCTTTCTACAACGGAGACCTTTGTTTGGTACCGTAGGTTTCTTCAGTAGAAGGCGTCCATCTGTGGTATCGGTTGTTGGGATGCCAGAGGATAACACCCGATCGGTATGTCATTTGTGATAAAAGTTATAGGTGCATATGAAAGCAGGCACTCATTAAAAGAGGTTTTGACAATTCAAGGGATAACAGAAGCTGACAGTTTCTACAGTGACTGGAAATCCGAAAATAGGGAGCGCATAAGCGCATGCGTTGCGCCAATTAAAAGGTGCGCCAATATCTGGGGGATCACAGTAGGTGCTACCCATAACATTGCTGGTAACCGTTCACCTACACTATGCACGAGTGGGTTTAGTGTGCAGCAGGGGCGGGCCTATGAGGACGTCGTCAGAATCCCAACCACTAGACTATTGGGATAAAAGGGATTGTTAAGTAGCGGGTCAGTGCGCCCATAACCCCCCAGGACAACGAGCCTGTAACCCTTCCCTAAGATCAATCGACGATCACCATTGGACCTTTGACACCCCCCCGCACTGGGATGCCCAAAATGCACACACTGAGATTTGAACCCGAGACCTTCGCTCTGATACCATGTCAAAATCCTAACCACTAGACCATTGAGATAAAAAGTCTTGTTAAGTAGCGGGTCAATGCGCCCATAAACCCCCAGGACAACGAGCCTGTAACCCTTCCCTAGGATCAATCGGGGATCACCAGTGGACCTCTGACAGACGTTGCAGCTCTCTCGCCTTGGAAATTGCGGAGCAGCGAGTCAATCACGGCAGTATGTGGGGAGCATGTGTGGGTCTATCGTGTAGCAGAGGGCTGTGCTATGAGGACGTTTCAGCTCTACGTGCCTCGAAAGAACTTGAGCAGCAGCGAGCCAAATAATAGCAGTACATTAGGAACATGTGTGGGGCACGAGTGGGTCTAGTGTGTAGCAGAGGGCGGGCTATGAGGTTGCTTCGTGCTCTCCCCCCCTTGGAATTCGCGGAGCAACGAGTGAATAGTTTCAGTACCAGTAGGGCATGTGTGGAGCATGTGTGGGCCTAGTGTGGAGGAGAGGGCTGGGCTAAGAGGTTGCCACAGCTCCCCCTTGGAAGAACTACCGGAGCAGCGAGTCAATACCTGCAGTTTGTGTGGAGCATGTGTGGAGCATGTGTGGAGCATGTGTGGAGCATGTGTGGAGGATGTGTGGGGCATGAGTGGGCCTACTGTGCAGCAGAGGGCTGGGCTACAAGAATGTTGCAGCTCTCCTTGCCCTGAAAGAACTCCCCGAGCAGCTCCCTAAGGTTTTCATCCGTGAAGCGAATGTGCTTGCTGGCCTCCTTGCTGCTGCGGCCAAAGAGACCGCCGCTCTTCAACACCGAGCTGATGGGGGGAAGGGAGAGAGGATGGGGAGAGACAAGAGAGAAGCGTGCAATGAAGGGAATGTGCTTGCTGGCCTTCTTGCTGCTGCGGCCAAAGAGACCGCTGCTCTTCAACACCGGGCTGAGAAGCTGACGGCAAAAAAGGGGATGGAACAGAAGCCAAGGGGGTGGAAGGGGAGAGGGCAGGAGTGGGATAGGCAGATTTGATCATGTATTTGTGCAAGGGAACATGTGGGTGCATGTTTGCAAGTGGATACATGTGCGTGGGTATGTGAACACACTTCGTGTATGAGCAGGCAAAACACACACTATGATCGCTGCAAAACATGGTTTGGGGTTTGGTGTTTAGGAATACACACGCATGGCACAAGCATGTGCGTAACATAGCAGATGGTGAGCATGCATCATTGTGACATTTGAGTGGACTCAAAAGTCAAATAACATAGCAGATGGTGCATGGCATGCATCGATGGGATGCAGCATAACACACCAAGGCGCAGGAGGTGGGAGCAGCACATGAAACACAGCACAGACAACCCTAATGGGAGCCGCATGCAACTCACGTGTATTGGTGCACCAAGGAGCGACCAGGAACTCATGTGCAGCACAGCACCTCACCCTCTACCCAGCTCACTTGCAACACAGCACCTCACCCTCTACCCAGCTCACTTGCAACACAGCACCTCACCCTCTACCCTCACTTGCAACACAGCACCTCACCCTCTACCCAACATGAAGCCAGCTCACGTGTATCGTTGCAGAAAGGAGCAGTATGCGGGCAACAGGTCCTTGGAGATCCTTTGCTGCAGGGCGGATCGCACGTTTTGAGACGTCTCAGAAATGGGGTCGGGGATCTTCCACATGCACTGCGTGCGATGCAGCTCCTCAAAGGTGGCGTTAAACACTCGGAACCTGGGGCCGGAAGGGTGAAGAGGGGGCGGAAAAGGCAGGGAGAGTTGGGGTTGGGGATCTTCCACATGCAGTGCGAGCGATGCAGCTCCTCAAATGTGGCGTTGAACGTGTGGAGCCTGCAATGCAATGACGAAGGCGGGAGGTCGAGAGGAGGGGAGATAGGGCTGAGCTGAAAGCGGCGATTTGGTACTAACGATTACATGCATGTACAATCCATTGATGTAATATAAGGGTAGCGGGTTAGCTTTGCTTGCTCCTTGTTAGGATTTCCACACTGATGATCGTCTGACCGGGTCTTTCCAAACTGATAAACATCTGACCAGATCTTTGCCCGTGAGAGGCCAGCATATTTTGAAAAAATACACAAACCTTCACTTTGGCTGAGACTTTCGCTTGGTGAACGGTTCTGCAGGGTATGATCCTATCCTACTGCTTGAAACGATCCACCTTGATACTGCTTTCCATGACCAAGGACCCCTGGGACCCATGCCCCATGCACCTCTCCTCACGCTCACAAATCAAATAAGAAATAGTACACATGACCCTCATCCCAATTTCTCTCAAATAGTACACGTAACACATGCCCCTCTTCCCAATTCCCAGCTGTCTCGCACATAGAACAGAGCAGCCCAGCCGTACTCCTGCAAGCAACCCCATTCCCCAACCCCTGCCCTTTTCTTCTCAACCCAACCCACCTTCCCATCGCCCGCCCCCAAAACATTCCCGCCACCCACCCATCCAAGACAACCCACCTCTGATTTTGAGGTGCCTCAGAAATAGACGCTCCCAGAACAATCGCCTCACCCAAAAAAAACACGTCTACCTCTGACCCCCAACAACCCCCCTTCCCCCTTGCTCCTCTTTCTCCCCTAGAACCTCTTTTTCCCAGTGCGATTCTCTCCTCCCCTTTCCCCCCTCCCCCTCGCACCTCTCTTTGAGAGCGCTGCGGCTCACACTGCCCTCCTCGCATCTACTATTCTCCTTACTGTCAGAACTTAAGCTTAGAATCCATGCATTAGTAATGAGCTCGAAGCTCTTTAAGTACATCCAAGATGGGCAAGGAAGGGATGGGGAAGGGAATCGGGGGCAATCTCTAGGGATTGGGGGTAATCCCAAGGCAATCCCCAATTGGTGGGTTGGAGATTGCTTGGAGATCACATTTGGGTCTGGTTGGGTTGGGACGTAGGTGTACACCCAACCAAACACCAAGTACAAACTACACTACACTAAGATATAGAAATTACAAAATACAAAGTGTGAGATTGAGGTCTAACTCTAACACTTACCCCACATCTATCCCCCTCCACTGCCCTCCTCGCACCTACCTCTCCTTTCCCCACATCTATCCCCCCCCACTGCCCTCCTCGCACCTACCTTTCTCCTTTTCCCACCTCTATATACCCCCACTGGGCCACTGCCCCCCTCACTGTTAGAGGGCCCTACGACAGCAAGGGCCCTCGACGACCGTTTGACTTGGCAGGTCGACTATGAAAGACCAAGACGAGCAGTCCAGCACCGACCCTATGATTTGGCGATGGTTGCGTAGTGACGCGATGTGACAACGGCAGCACTAAACAGTCATTGCTGGGGTGGTGTTAGTCTAGGGAAATCGTGGGCATGCTTCTTGGGTGGTCTTGGTGGTTGTGGGTGATTCTCTGTAAGTCTCGCCATTTCTAGTTGTGCTGGGAGAATTGGCGAGCTCGGCATTGACTTCCCTGCTGAGTTGGGTTGGGAAGTTGACGAGGCGCGTTCGCTCACCCACACACCACTTTCGTGGGGTTGGGTTACTGCGCAGTGCCACGCCAACTTTGTGAAACCTTCCCGTAGCCTATATCTAGTTGTGTGTTTGCTTTTGTATTCATAATTGATATTGCAATTCTACTTGGCCCAAATGCTACTTCAATCCTCACTAAGTCCTTAGAGGCAAACTCTACCGAAACTCTACCAAGTTGCTGACGCAACATCATTCTCATAGCAGAAACTCTCTCGTTATCGCTACGCTCTCTAATATATTCCTTCACTCACACCTACCTTTCTCCTTTCCCCACATCTATCTCCCCCCCCTGCCCTCCTCGCACCTACCTTTCTCCTTTCCCCACATCTATCTCCCCCCCCTGCCCTCCTCGCACCTACCTTTCTCCTTTCCCCACATCTATTCCCCCCACTGCCCCACTCACACACACACACCTCGCACCTACCTTTCTGCTCCTCTCCCCTCGCATCTTTCTTTGACAGTGATGCGGCTCACAAAGCCGTACTTGCCATCCACAGACAGCCCCGCCACTCCACGCACATCCCTTTTCCCCAATTCCGCTCCACAAGAACTTCCCCCCAACCCCCGCCACCCCCCCCCCACCCCTCCCCTTCCCCTCGCCCCTCTCTTTGACAGTGCTGCGGCTCACAAGTCCTTTGCCCTCCACAGACATCCCTGCCACTCCTATGAAGAAGTGTTTTGAGACGTCTCAAAACACCTCTCTTAGACAGTGTTGCGGCTCACGTGCCCTCCTCTGACAGCCCTGCCACTCCACGCACATCTCTTTACCCCCTTCTGCTTTCCACGAACTCCCATCCCCCCCCTCCCCCCACTTCCCCCCCTCCTCCTTTCCGTCCCCCCTCGCACCTCTATTTAACAGCATTGCGGCGTGCAATGCTATCCATGCCCTCCTCTGACCCGATAGCCCCGCCAATCCACGCACATCTCTTTTCGCTCCCCACTCACTCCACCTCCTCCCCCCATCCCCATTTTTCACCCCCCTCGCACCTCTCTTTGACAGCATTGCGGCGCGCATTGCTATCCATGCCCTCCTCCGATGGCCCTGTCGGCTTCAGTAGCTCAAAAATCTGACAACGTAAGGGAGGGAGCGGAAGATATGCCTTTTGAGTCGACCCAAACTCCCTCCATCCCTCCTCTGATTGACAGCCCTGCTGGCTTTGGTAGCTCAAAAATCTAGCAAGCGTAGGGGAGGGAGAGGAAGAGGCAAGTTCTGCCCTCTATCAGAAGAAGAGTTGTGAAACAGGATTGGTTTGGCTTTTGAGTCGACTCAAAAACCCTTACCAGAGGAAGTGTGCAGCACCTTTGAGAGGGAGATTGCGACTTTTGAGGCGGCTCAAAGGTGCGTCACTTTACCAGAAGAAGTACGCACGCATTGCCTGTGAGAGGGAATCTTGTGAACACAGGTGAGTTGAGCTGAGGTATACCTAGGTAAAGTCATAGATACTTTAGGTTGGATTCATTAATGATTACTGAAGGCCCAAATATTTGTGGTTGGGTCAACCAACACTAGTGGGGGTCCAATCATTGTTGGTTGGGTTTTTACCAGCATTATTGCAAGGCCAATGACCGTTGGAGACCCAACCAAAGGTCAACCACAAATGTGGTGGGCACACCCAATAATCCTTTTGATAGCTAGCAGCTGCACCTCTTATTTTCGCCTAGAGTAGCTACACCTATTATTTTAGCCCATGTACATTGTATAGAATAACTAAAACACAACCCACGATCTGTTATATTACTGCAGAAAAGTCATATGTGTTGGTGCAACCCTACCGTTTGCACTCGGGTTGTTGTCTTTGTGCGTGCATGTGTGTTTGCATTGAATGTTATGAACGTATGACATAATATATATGTCATGCTTAAGTAGTGTGTGAATAATGAGTCATAATGTCGAATGTGTGTATCGAGTCAATAGCGAATTTTCGGAAGTCGCGTGTCACGTCGTCGTTTGCGTGTTGTATGCGTTTTCTGTTTTGTCTTGTCTTGAACGTTCGGCGTGTCACAAGTGTGTCCAGCGAAATTCCAAGAACTCAATGAAGGTTTATGATGAAGATTCGGAGCCCTGGTTTCAAGATAAAAATTATTCAAGAGCTCGCCATGATGGTAAACACCAAGATAGCAAGAATAAGTGCTGCACAAAAGGGACGGTGTGGCACTGTTCCAACTCTCTGGAACTCGGTTTTTGGGGTTAGTAGAATCTGGGAGTCATTCCAAGACTATTTTTTCTGCTAGACCGCCGTTCATTCATATTACTCTCGCATCGTGAGTTCTTTATCATATTGAGTGATTCAATCTGCTGATTGTAGACAACATCAATACGCTCCGGGTCCAGTTTATAGCAAATCATTTGATGTAATAACCCGTCCGCTATCAACGTTTGAGGCCGTTCTGCAAAAAAACGCATGTACACTCTTTCGTTTTAGGCACATTTGAACTTATTGTGACCAAAACGCTAAACCCCACCCCTTCCTTCCCACCACCCCTCGTCGTCTCAACTTGACATCCGAAGGTATGGAACTGCATGCTGCTCCATAACGTGACATTGCTTGACGTTGCTGATCTACAATATTGCGTAAAGAGTGGAATCCACCCTTCCCCACTCCCTCCCGCTTCCTCCCTTCCCCCCTACCTTTCGCCTCCTCATCTTGCTCCACGACATCCTAAGTTATGCCAATGCATGCTGCTCCACAACACGTTGCGGCATGGTGCTGCGCTACATTTTTGCATCAAAATTCCACCCTGCCCTACCCCTCGCCATCCCACCTTTCTCCATGACAACCGAAGATACGCCTTGGCATGGTGCTCCACGACAGAATGCTGTTGGCAGATCCACTCCTCCCCCACCACCTCCTTTAGATTGCCACTGAAAAGAAAAGAGAGAGATGGAGAGGGAGAGGGAGAGGAAGAGAGAGAGGGAGAGGGAGAGGGAGGGGAGAGGGAGAGGGAGAGGGAGGGGAGAGGGAGAGGGAGATGGAGAGCGTTGTCGTACTGCTTTCTTGCACCGTGAAACAGGCTTTCCTTGATCCCAACCCCTCCCCTCTTCCCATTTCCCCACCCTCACCCCCACATAACTTCTCCATTTTTCCTCCCTTACTTCACCACACGCTCCACAATGTAGTGCGTGTTATTCATGAGGAAGAACTGCGCAATGTAAATGACGCACCACAGTACACCTTGCAGAATGAACAAGGCTATTTCTTACTTGACCATGCACTCCACAATGTAATGCACATTGTTCATGAGGAAGAACTGTGCGAGCACCTCATCGTCGTACTGCTTGCTCTTCCTCTTTACGAGGTTGGTGTAAAGCGTAGCAACGACCCGCTTCATATTGTCACTGAAGACGCTCCTGTCAGAGCCAAAGAGTGACTGCATGGTGGGCTGAAAGCTGAAAGGCAGGGACGAATAGAGGGAAGGGAGAAGTAAAGGGGACAAGTGAAGGGGACGAGTACAGGGGGAGAGTGAAGAAGAGGACAAGTAAAGGGGACGAGTTTGTCAGAATAACGAACGAGAATGAATGAACTATGAAAGAGTTGGGTACAAGTACTAACCCTAATTGGGTTGTACCCCTTATAAGATACCCCACTATAGCCTACACAAATGTAAGCACTATAACATTCTGACACACCCTCATAGGCAAAATGGGGGAGAACAAGTGGTCACAAGACCAGTCAAGAAAAGCAAAGCAAGCTCAGGGTGGATCACAAAGTCACCACACAGTCCGAGCACAAGCAAAGGGCCACAAGGCCAGTTCACATGCAGAGTTATATAAAACAGAACAAACAATACAGTGATCATACCCTAGCAAGTGTAAGCATGCGGGTATATATATACATAACAGTACAATCAAGTCAAGCAGTGAGCAAGTGAGGCAAAGTAGGCACAATGCCTAACACTGTAGAGAAGCGCTGATGATCACCAGGCGGAAGTGCCTTGGTGAATATATCAGCAGTGTTGGCCCTAGTGGCCACGAACGCAAGACGAAGCTGGCCACGCTGCTGCAACTCTCGAGCAAGGAAGTATCAAAGAGCAATTTGCTTCGTTCTGTGCTCCAGTATGTGCTCCTGACACAAGGCAATCATGGCCTTGTTGTCTACGTACAGAACTGGAGGCGAACGAGGCTGCTCTCCCAAGTCAGTCAGCAGGTAGGTGAGCCAGCGTAGCTCCTGTGCAGCCATGGCCCCTGCGTAGATCTCAGCCTCACAGCTGGAGCTGAGAACCGAAGACGAGCGGGTAGACCGCCAGGAAACAGAGCCGGAACCGAGGCTGAAGGTGTAAACCTGTGACGACCGCTGCGTAGCTGAGTCGTCAACCCAAGAAGCGTCTGCGTGACCAGTGAGGACAACTGGACCCCGTCCTCCAAGCACGAGCCCCATGCCCGACGTACTGCACAAGTAATGCAGAACCCTCTTTGCAGCATCCCAGTGCACCTTTCGGTGCCTACCGGGAGCCACGTAGCGAGCCAGAAGGCTGAGAGGTTACGCGAGGTCAGGTCGTGTGCACGTCATCAGGTACATGAAACAACCCACAAGCTCTGGGTACGGACCACTCGGCTCTATGGACTCGTCCGAAGGTGGAGCTGAGAGTGAGTGGCCGGTAGGCAGAGGAGTGGGCTGTGGCGAGGAGAACTGGAAGCCGAAGCGCTGAAGGACTTGGTGCACCATGTGTGACTGAGTCAGTGTGATGGTGCGCCGTGCTCTGTCCCGGGTGATCTGCAAGCCGAGATAGCTGCGCAGTTCACCCAGGTTAGTGCAGGTGTGTCTCTTCTGTAGCTCCTACTTCACAAGGGTCAATGCCTCAGTGTCAGCAGTGGCAAAGACGAGGTCGTCGACGTACACGAGGACGTAGAACGACGGCAGCAACGTGTCAATGCGTAGAAATAGTGACGGGTCAGTAGTAGAAGGAGTAAACCCCAGAGCCGCAAGTGTAGTCCTCAGTGTATCGTGCCACTCGCGAGGCGCCTGGCGGAGACCGTAGACTGGCCACCGGAGGCTCCATTGGGTACCTGCAGGAAACGACCGAGTGAAGCCAGGTGGGCGGCGCAGCCAGATCTCCTCGTGCACCCTGCCCTACAAGAAAGCTGTACTGAAGTCCAGAGAGTGTAACTCATAGTCACGCTGAGCAGCGACGTGCAGCAACACCCGAAGAGTGGTCATCTTCGGGGTGGGGGAGAAGGTCTGGAAGTAGTCGACCCCCTGTCGCTAACTGAAGCCTCTAGCAACGTAACGCGCCTTGAAGGTAGGCGGAGAACCCGGCGGCCACTTCACCCTGAAAATCCAGATGCCATCGACTATGTTCGCCCAAGACGGGGGAACTGCGTCGACGTAGGTGCCTGTGGGCTTCCAGGATGCCATCTCGGCATCCATGGCTGTCTGCCACTGAGAGGAGTAAGGACCCGTAATCGCCTCTTCGTAAGAGCGCGGGGTCGGGATGTCTGGTGCATCCGGGTCTCCCTCACGGGCAAGCAGCATGGAAGCGAAACGAGGTATAGCAGCTGCAAGACACTCAAAGTCCTCTTGCCTGTCCTCAAGGACGTCCATGCCAAGAGCACACTCACCCCCGATGGACGGAGGACTCGCAGACTCAGACTCAGCAACAAGAGCAGTGGCGTAGTCTAGACGACAGGTAGCAGCAAAGTCAAGCAGCTCAGCAACGAGGGCAGACGCAGTAGTGTACTCAAAAGAAGGGTCAGTGACAACAGTGGCGAGGAGACGAGAGATAGTGGGACTGGCAGCACGAGCGCGCTCAGACTCAGGGTCAGGGATGGCAGGAAGAGAGGACTCAGGAGGAGCAGGCAGAGGAACACGCAGTGGAACAGAGGAAGGACGAAGTGCCATAGCGTGTGTGCCTGGGACAGGAGAAGGGCGCAGACGAGGAACGCGACAACCAGTGCGAACAGGGGAGGCAGGACGAGACGCAGGCTCACGACGCTCGGTAAGGCCTCCGGTCTGCTCAGTGTAAGGAGACGGGGCAGGTGGTGGGGAGGCTAGCGGTAACGGCGACTGCGACTGGTCAGGCGGTGGACACAGTAGGGGAGGAGTAAGGCCAGTAGAAGACGGGACACTAAGAACCTGCTGAAGCAGGGGAACGAAGTACGGTCGCGGCCGTACAGTGTCTCCAGCACCAGTACCACCAGCAGCCTCAACTCTAGTACCTCCAGCTCCAGGGTGAACAGCTCCAGCTCCTCCAGCTCCAGCGCCTCCCGCGCCAGTGCCTCTAGCTCCAGCTCCACTAGCTCCAGCTCCTCCAGCTCCAGCGCCACCAGCGCTAGTGCCTCCAGCTCCAGCGCCTCCAGCCCCAGCAGCTCCAGGCTCCGTAGGGGCTCCAGCTCCAGCGCCCCCAACACCACCAGCTCCAATAGTAATTCCAGCACCTCCAGCTCGAGTGGCCCCAGTGGCTCCAGCTCCGGCAGCTCCACTCCGAAGGCGTGCGCGCCGAACAAGCCACTCACGTAACTACTGCGGGGAGAGAGGCTCCAGCCGGGGAGACCGTCACGGCGAACCACTCGCAGGACCTCCAGCACCAGTACCGCCAGAGACAGCACCTCCAGCTCCAGGGACTCCAGCTCCAGCTCCAGCGCCACTAGCGCCAGTGCTCCCAGCTCTTGGGCCTCCAACCCTAGCACCTTTAGGCTCCGCATGGTCTCCGGCTCCGGCAGGTCCACTCCGAAGGTGTGCGCGCCGAACAAGCCACTCATGCAGCTGCTGCGGGGAGAGAGGCTCAAGCCGGGGAGACAGCCGCAGCAAAGCACCGGCAGGACCCCCAGACAAAGCAGCACCCCAAGGCTCAACACCCCCAGACTCCGCACCCTCAGACTCCGAACCCCCAGGCTCAACACCCTCAGGCTCAGCACCCCCAGGCTCCACACCCGCGGGCTCAGTACCCCCAGGCTCCGCACCCCCAGGCTCAGCACCTCCAGACCCAGCACCCTCAGACTCAGCGCCCCCAGGCTCCGCACCCCCAGACGCAGTACCTCGAGCAGCACCTGAGTCGCCAGCTACCTCAACAGGCACAGTACCAAGGAGAGGGTCTACCTGAGACACACCTGAGGGAGCAGGACCCTGGGGCGGGAGGGGGTCTATTGGAGGGGGACTAGGAGCAAGGAAGAGCGGCGGGGGCGGGGGAGGGGCAGAGCGGTAGGGGAAGAGACGGTAAAAGGGAACCGACTCGTCAAACGTGACGTCCTGAGAGGGGAAGACACGACGCGAGATGGGAAAGCCAAGGAAGAGAACTCGCCACCTCTGGAGAATGCCCTCCCCACGACAAAATGTCCTGCAAGGGGTTGGAGGAGAACTCACCACCTCTGTCAGAGTGCAGACGCAGGACAGGAAGGTCCTAGCGGAACCGCTCGCGGATCTGGAGACGTACTACACGGATCCAAGGGATCAAGACATCAACGACCTCACCCTTGCTGCGCAAGGGGAAGACGGTGGTGTACCGCGTGTAGTCGTCAACGACCAGCAGAAAGTAGCACTCGCGGCCCTGTCCACTGACGCAGGCTGGGCCCCACACGTCCATGTGGAGAGTCTGCAGAGGAGCAGTCGTCGGGGGAAACGAGGAGTGAGGAGCGGCGCACTGCCGCCCCTCGACGCAAGGAAGGCAGGGCGGGGCAGGCGAGGGCGGGATGGGAGGCAAAGACCTGGGAAGGCTAGAGACAATGAGGCGGGAGTGCATGCCACGCAGGCATGGCAGGGAGGGGTAACCAAGGCGGTGGTGCTAGAGGAGAGTCTGGTGCGACAGGAGGCGACACGAGCAAGGGGGTGCTACCTGACCTGACGCGGACAACCTGAGCAGACGCAGCTACCTGAGGAGGCTTTGTAGACAGTGTGTACAGACTCGACCCTGGCCGACGAGTGAACGTGCCCAGGTGACGACCCGTCCGTGTACACGTGCAGATCGACACACGCTGACCCCCAGGAGTGGTGGTAGTGACCATCGAATCCTGGAGGGCAGCGAAACTCACCAAGTTTGTAGAGAACGAGGGGAGGTGAAGACCGGATAGCGAGTCGGACGGAACTGCCGGACACGGGAGAACAGTGGAGGAACGGGCAACGACTGGGCCCCCGGAGGGGTCAGCCAGTCTGACCGGGCGGGTGCAGGGAGAGGAGTGAGGGTGGTGCTGTCACGAAAGAAATAGCGTGAGGACCTGAGTCTTGCGTGAAAGTGTGCAAGGCCTCAGCAGGTGCAGTATCAGGGAGAGAAGACTCACTAGCACCTAGAGCAGCAGCGTCTATACCTGGGTCAGGCGGCACACACCGGTAACAGTCACCCTCAGCACTAGCAGACAAAGCATACATAGCAGAGAGAATAGCATCATAGTCTAGGTCAAAGATCGCAACTCCAAACCTAAGCAGCTCTGCCCAGTGGTGGCACTCGACCTCATCACCAAACTCAGCATGCCAAGCATCGTCGAGGCGGGAGAAGCAGCGGTGCTGAGTGTGAGGCTTCCCGCATGTCTGACCAGCACGGTCACCCGTGCAAATGACATACGGGCAGCTCACACTACCCCAAGACGCCCCACGCTGAAACAACCACTCACGAAGCTACTGGGGCGACGAGGGCTCTCTCTAACGCTGCTTCCGCTGCCTCTGACCTCCTCCAGAACCTCCACGCTGAGCTCCAGTCCTACCGCCACCACTCCCACGGCTGCCACTACCGCCACTCCCACCGCTGCCTCCACCGCCGCCACCAAAGCCCCCACTCCCGCCACCACTCCCACCGCTGCCACCGCCTCCACTGCCTTCACCACCTCCACTGCTGCCCCCACCACCACTCCCGCTGCCCCCGCCACCACCACCACTCCCGCTGCCCCCGCCACCACCCCTGCCACCCTTGCCCTTGCTGCTGCGGCGCTTCGCACTAGCAAAAGCAGCCCCGACATCCTCAACACTAGGGACGTCTACAGCAGCAGTAGAGGCGTAGGAGGGGGCAAGGGGGGAGGGGGAGCACCCCTCAAAGAAGGGCGTGCGCGGAGAGCCACGAGCAACACCTACAGCGACTGCACTAGTCTCAGCTGCAAGGAGGTGCTGCTCTAGTAGGTCAATAGTGAGGACTGTGGGGTCGAGGGAGAGAAAGTGGTCCCTGATAGAGCGAAGAGAGTCAGGGAGTCGAGTGACTATAAAGTAGAGAGTGATGAACATCGGGGGCTGGTTCCTGTCAAGGAACTCAGTTGGGGCGGCAGCGTGGTAGCGAGCATCGCTAGTGCGAAGGTGGGAAACCAGGTCCTCTACTGTGGCAAGGCAGACAGCTCGGGGAACAGGTAGGGCAGTAGGAGGCGGCCTAGAGCAGCAGTGGCAGGCGAGGAGTAGCGAGCGACTACAGCGTCGTACAGTGCCTGTGCTGTCCTGTGCTGTCCGAAGTGAGCGCATTCGGCCAACGGGAGGTGGTTGCGAATGGCTAAGCGGGCAGCAGCGTTGCGAGTCAGCCACTGTGAGCGGGTCGCACTGTCAGCTGCGGCGGGAGGGGTGGGAGCGATGCCAGACGTGTGGTCAAACAACGAAACACTGTCCCTAGAGTCGCTCAGGAGGTACAGCTGCAGGTCGTCGAGCCACTTGTCAAACTGCAGGGGGCGTCCCTCATGATCGAACGCTAGCACGTGGAGAGAAGCCATAGTGGCGCAGCACGTAGGGCGGGCAAAGGCCGGGCAGCGCGAGGAACAGGGCAGGCAGCAGGCTGCAGGAGGGGCGGCTCGAGGGCCTAGGGGCGGCCGTGGGGCGACGTGTCGGGGCCAGGGGCAACGGGCCGGGGCGTAGGGGCAACGAGTCGGGGCCTAGCGGCGACGGGCTACGGGCCGGGGCTAGGGGGGACGGGCTGCGGGGCCAGGAGCGACGGGCCGAGGGGCCGGGAGCGACTGGCCGTGGGCCTGAGGGCGACGGGCCGGGAGCGACGGGCCGTGGGCCTAGGGGCGACGGGCCGCGGGGCCAGGAGCGACGGGCCGCAGGGCCGGGAGCGACGGGCCTGGGGCCTAGGGGTGACGGGCCGCGGGGCCTAGGGGCGACGGGTCGGGGGCCTAGGGGCGACGGGCCGCAGGGCCAGGAGCGACGGGTCGGGGCCTAGGGGCGACGGGCCGAGGGCCTAGGGGCGACGGGCCGCTGGGCCAGGAGTGACGGGCCGGGGCCTAGGGGCGACGGGCCGAGGGCCTAGGGGCGACGGGCCGCTGGGCCAGGAGTGACGGGCCGGGGGCCTAGGGGCGACGGGCCACGGGGCCTAGGGGCGACGGGCCGGGGGCCTAGGGGCGGCGGGCCACGGGGCCAGGGGCGACGGGCCAGGGGGGTTAGGGGCAACGGGCCGCGGGGCCAGGAGTGACGGGCCGGGGGCCTAGGGGCGACGGGCCATGGGGCCTAGGGGCGACGGGCCGCGGGCCTAGGGGCGACGGGTCGGGGGGCCAGGAGTGACGGGCTGGGGGCCTAGGGGTGACGGGCCACGGGGCCTAGGGGCGACGGGCCGGGGGCCTAGGGGCGACGGGCCGCGGGGCCAGGGGCGACGGGCCGGGGGGCTAGGTGCGACGGTTCGCGGGGCCTAGGGGCGACGGGCGACGGGCCGCGGGCCCTAGGGGCGACGGGCCGCGGGGCCAGGAGCGACGGGCCGGGGCCTAGGTTAGGGGCGACGGGCAACGGTCGACGGGCCGGCCCTAGGTTAGGGGCGACGGGCTGCGGGGCCAGGGGCGACGGGCTACGGGCCGCGGGGCCAAGGGCGACGGGTCGGGTCCTAGGAGCGACGGACGACGGGCCGGGCCTAGGGGGCGACGGGCGACGGGCGACGGGCCAGGACTAGGGGCGACGCGCGTGGGGTCTAGGGGCGACGGGCGACGGGCCGGAGGGCCGCACGAGGGCGGCGCGCGGGGCAGCAGGTGCGGCACGAGGGTCGCTAGGGGCGGCTAGTGGGGCAGCGCAATGGTGGGCCCAAGAAAAAAAAAAACGGTCCTAGCGAAGGACCTGCTCTGAAACCATGTCAGAATAACGAACGAGAATGAATGAATTATGAAAGAGTTAGGTACAAGTACTAACCCTAATTGGGTTGTACCCCTTATGGGCTACCCCACTATAGCCTACACAAATGTAAGCACTATAACATTCTGACAGAGTTAAGGGGACAAGTAAAGGGGACGGGTAAAGGGAACGAGTGAAGGGGACGACAACAGTCAGCGACGCACAGTCAGCGACACACAGTCGACGATGCATAAAAACTCAACAGCGCAAAAAGAGCCAACGGCGCACCCATCATTGAGAAGGTTGAAGTTGTCAACCCCATGGCTGGTGAGCGCATGCCTGGTGCCGTCGCATAGCATACTATGTAACTGTGGTGAGGTTATTCCTTTGCCTCTCACGCTCACTCAATAGTGCACCCATTATTGAGATAGTTGAAGTTGTTACCCCATGGCTGGTGAGCGCAAGCCTGGTGCCATCCCGCCTGCGGCATGCTATGGCGAAGTTATGCCCTCCCGTCTCACACACAGTCAACCACGCACGGCCAACGACGCATGCCCAATGACGCACAGTCAGCGACGCATCACAGCCAACCACGCACAGTCCACAACGCACCCACAATAAAGATAGTTGAAGTTGTTAACAGCGTGGCTGGTGAGTGCAAGCCTGGTGCCATCCTGCAGGCGGCATACTGTGGTGAAACTATCGCCTCCCCTCCCACACAGCCAACGATGCACAGTCAACCACGCACAGTCAATGACGCACACAGTCAACCACATATCACAAGTCAATGACGCACACAATCAACCACATATCACAAGTCAATGTCGCATATAGTCAACCACGTATCACAAGCCAATGACGCACACAGTCAACCACATATCACAAGTCAATGACGCACACAGTCAACCACATATCACAAGTCAATGACGCACACAGTCAACCACATATCACAAGTCAATGACGCACACAGTCAACCACGTATCACAAGACAACGACGCACACAGTCAACCACATATCACAAGTCAATGATGCACACAGTCAACCACATATCACAAGTCAATGACGCACACAGTCAACCACATATCACAAGTCAATGACGCACACAGTCAACCACGTATCACAAGTCAATGACGCACACAGTCAACCACATATCACAAGTCAATGACGCACACAGTCACAATGGGGCACGGAGGAGAGGGGGGAGGAGGGTGGGAAGGAGAGAGTTACCGCACAGCACCGCTCTGCAGCACACAGTAAGTTGATACGCACACCCTCTGGCATCACCCATCATACACCATACCACACTTGCTCCCTCGGTTGACCACAGGTTGGTGGTCTCATAGATGTACAGATAAACATCTGTGCGATCCCCTCCACACAAGTTGACTCAACAGCCACCCAGCTTGTTACAGTGGCACACACGGCACATATGTAGTCTTGAGTGCTCTAGCCTACCAAACTCGCCACAGGTTTGTCGTCTCATGCGAAGAGTACATCTGAGAAATCCCCTCCAGATCAAACGCCCACCCATACGACGCCTGACCCCGGCTCCACACACCACACCACACCGCATGGCACCGCACCACACCCCACCGCACTGCACTGCATCACACCGCACACGGCCTGAACTTACCACAGGTTTTTCCTCTCATACGACGAGTACATCTGAGAAATCCCCTCCAGATCAAACGCCCACCCATATGCCGCCTGCCCCCTACTAGCCACCCTCGCTGCCTCTTCATGCTGCTGCTGCTGTGAAGGAAGCAGGTCCTGAATGAGATCTAGTGAAGGCAGGTGCGTCTTGGACAGGTTGGTAGTCATCCACTGTGCGATGGGCTTGGAGAAGCCCTGCGAGAGGAGAGAGTTCACCACCTCGCTGCGATCCAGAATCTGCCACGAGAGCAGTAGAGTGGGAGGAGCAGCACAGGGGTAGCAGCACAGGGGGGGCCGCAGAGGAGCAAGGTGGGTGGGAAACGGAGGGCAGGTGCGTGGTGGTGAGGTCAGTTGTCATCCACTGCGAGATGGGCTTGGAGAAGCCCTGTGAAACGAGAGAGTTCACCACCTCCTCGCGGTCCATTTTTTTTAGGAGATTAGGTGGAGGTGCACAGGAGCAGGGTGGGGAAGAGAGTGTTGTTGTGGAGGAGATCTGTTAAGGGGGAGGGAGCGTGCAAAAGGTTAGACGATGAAAAAGGCTTAGGAATTTTCATTGTTTGCTTATTGAAGCAAGGCATCCTCACCATAGGCGGTGCTCAAATTACTTGAGAATTCTCAAAAGAGCGGCATGCCTGTGAGAGCATGCCTGTGAGAGCATGCCTCTGAGAGCATTGACGAAATCATCCACGTGGTCTTTCCCTCCCCATCGCTCTGCATGCCAAGGCCCATTACACCAGATGACCAGTTTACGAGAGACTCACCAGGGGCGGCATGCCTCTGAGTGCATCAATTAGGTCGGCTGGATGGTCCTTCCTTCCCACCCAGCCTACAGCCACACACCAGGCTTGTAGATCAGGCCCATACCAAGGGGCTAGTGTACTAGAAACTCGACTCACCAGGGGCGGCATGCCTCTGAGAGCATCAATTAGGTCGGCTGGATGGTCCTCCCCATCGCCCCCTGCCCTCACTTTGCCCGGTGTGGCGTCCAACACCCACACCTGCGTGGGGGGATGGGAAAGAGCAGGGGGGATGGGATGGTGAGGGTGAGGGGGGAGAAGTGAGCAACGAGTCAGAGATAAGAGCTCGGAGGGAATGGGTTCAAACACTGGCACTGTTTTGAGTTAGCACAAAACACTGCTCAGAATGGGTTCAAACACCGGCACTCGAAGGGAGGAGAGACGGGAAGAGAGTAGGAGAGAAGGGAGCGCGTGGGAGAGAGGAGGCAACTTATGGGTAAACTCATAACTTTGACCAGTGTGAGCTCTACTATTGGCACTTGAATCAATACAAAGGACCATTTGAGAGAGAGTAGTAGAGGGAGGCTGCGTGCAAATACCTTGATAGCGCTGGGCATGGGCTTGGCTGCTTGGTCTATCATGCTTAAAGCCACTGTAAGGTTACGTACAGGAAAGCATGGGGAACAGGGGTGGGGGCGGGAAAGGAGAGGAGAGGAGAAGTGAGCAGGGGAGAGGACAATTTTCTTACCTATTCAATCCCTACTAGCCTAAGCTCAGCCTAGAAGAGATTAGAACGAGTTAGATCTGCTGGATCTGGGTCGAAACTATCTTCCTATACTGAAAGGAGAGGAGAGGAGAGGTGAGCAGGGGAGAGGGCCCAGGGAGAGCGTTGGGCATGGGCTTGGCTGCTTGTCTATCATCTTAAAGCCACTGTACGAGTTGATGAGATGTGGGGGGGGAGCATGAGGGAGGGAGGTAAGGGTGGCCCAAGAAGATGAGAGGAGCCGTGAGAAGGGGAGGGGAGGCAATCAGTGCAAGGAGCACATTTGCTTGGCTGCTTGGTCTATCATGCTTAAAGCCACTGTACGCGTTGATGAGATATGAGGGGGTGAAGCACGGGGAGGACAAGGGTGGGGGCAGGAGAGGAGAGTAGGGATGAGAGGGGACAGGGAGGGTGCTGAGCATGGGCTTGGCTGCTCGGTCTATCATGTTTAAAGCCATTGCAAGAGTGGGTGGGGAGCGCCAGAGGGCAGTAGAGGCTTGAAATGGATGGCGCCTCTGCTGCCCTCTTGCAATTGATGGGGGAAGGGGAGGAGAGAGGGAGAGGGGGACAGGGAAAGTAACTGTGGGGGGGATGGGGTGGGGGTGGGGAGTGCAGTGTGTAGGGAAATTAGGTAAAGGAAAGGAAGCGAGCACAAATGGTGGATTTATGAGGGAGAATAGTTAAATGGAAAAGGTGCTGGAGGACCTTACAAAGAGGATGGTAAAGTTCGAGATAAGTGAGGGCACCTTTGCCGCCGAAGCTGTGGCCAATGAGAATGCAGGGGGTGATGCGGGAATCTCAGATGAGCTGGTGCTTATAAAGAGGATGGGGAGGTTCGATAAAGAGGAGCTCATAAGTGAGTGTACCTTTGCCGCCAAAGCTGTGGCCTATGAGAATGCGGGGAGTGATGCGGAGACGACCCATCTGAGAGGAGAGGAGAGGAGAGGGAAGGAGAGAGGAGGAGAGGGGAGAGAGGAGGGGAGAGGAAAAAACAATGGAGAGGAGGTGAATGGGTGGGAAAAGTGAAAGTTGAAAGGACGAGACCCACACGTGTGAAGGAGCAGGGAGGTATGGGCGACGTTGGAAGACGAGCAGAGGGGAACCGGAAACATGTGGAGTGAGGTGCATAGCGCACAGACTGAACAGAATGCGGTGCTAGGTGCCTCGATGCTGCAGTGGATGTTGAAAGAAGAGAAAGAACCACCCCCAGCAAGCAGCACCAACTCACCAGGTGCAGCACGTCCTTAGCAGCAGAGTGCACTGAATGAGGACCCAGGTGCCTTGATGCTGCTGTGGACGCACAGACAGCAGCCAGGACCTTAAAGAGAGTTCACAGCAAGCAGCAACCACCCACCCACCAAGAGCAGCACACAGCACCCACCCACCAACCCACCAGGTGCAGCACGTCCTTGGCAGCAGAGTGCACTGAGTGCGGTGTCAGGTGCCTCGATGCTGCTGTGGACGCACAGCCAGTAGTGCCTATCATAGCAGTGCACAGCAAGCAGCAACCAGCTCACCAGATGCAACACCCACCCACCCACCCACCAACTCACCAGGTGTAGCACGTCCTTAGCAGCAGAGTGTACCGAGTGTGGTCCCAGGTGCCTTGATGCTGCTGTGGAGGCCCCATGACACCGCAGGTCCACACACAGGAACTGAAGGGGTGAATGGGAGAGGGGATGGCGGGTGGTTACAGGGTGGAGGGAGCACGGACAGGAAGGGATGGGAAAGGTGTTGGGAATGGATTCGAGTTGCAGTGGCTACTTAGGAGGCCCCATGACACCGCAGGTCCACACACAGGAACTGGGGGAGGGGGTGGGAGGGGGTGGGAGGGGGTGGGAGGGGGTGGGAGGGGGTGGCGAGGGGAGAGATGCTGCTGTGGAGACCCCGTGGCACCCCGGGTCTACACACAGGAACTGGGGGGAGATGGTGGCGAGGTGGTTATAGGGTGAAGGGAGAAACGACAGGCCGGGAAGAGGAAGGGGTTGGAGTGTGGTGCTGCTGTGGTGCTCCCCTCCTCCCACTGTCACGCACTCAGAGAAATCCCTATTTCCCCTACACACGCACGCACACAACACACTCAGCGAGTTGACTTTTGAGTCGACTCAAAAGTCAACTTTTGAGTCGACTCAAAAGTCTCCTCCCACTGTCACGCACTCAGAGAAATCCCTATTTCCCCTACACACGCACGCACACAACACACTCAGACGAACACCTACCTGCCATGCGGGGAATTCAGTGGCTAGCCTTCTTGCAAAGGAGCCCCAGTTCTTGCCGCTGCCTAGGATGCCGTGAATGAGCACTGCTGTGGGGGGCGGGGGCTGGCGGCGAGATCGGTCCTCCGACCAACGCACCTGAGAGGGAGGGAGAGGAGGGAAGGAGTGGGAGGGGTAGGAGAGAAGGGAGGGCCAGAATGTGACGGATGGATGAGCACTGCTGTGGGGGAAGGTGGGGGTGGGGGGCTGGCGGTGAGATCGGTCCACTGACCAACGCACCTGAGAGGGAGAGGAAGGAAAGAGGAGGGAGGGGGAGGAAGATCACAGAAGGGAGGGGCAGGATGTCATGGATGGATGAGCACTGCTGTGGGAGGCGGTGGCTGGCGGCGTGTGCAGTCCTGTGACCAACGCACCTGAGAGGAAAGAAGCAGGGAGAGGGAGGAGGGAAAGGATGGCGAGGGAGTGGAGAGGGGCAGAACGTGTCAGAATGTTTTCATTACTTTGACAGAACGCCCAGAGTGTGCATGTGAGGACGGCTGTGGAGGGGACCACGCAGCAACAGTCAGAGGTGTTCTTTTAGAGAAAAATGTATATGTGTGTGTGTGTGTGTGTGTGTGTGTATACATACATATATATATATATATGAGAAATGGAGAAGCAGAGGGATACGCATCAGTAAGTGTTGCTTAAGCTTGGAGGAGGGGAGGGACACTCAAAGCCGTTTGAACGAGACAGGTAGGTGGGCGAGCAACAGGCAGGGGCGGTGTGGAGGGGGAAGGGGACGGTGGGAGGAGGGAGGAGGGGGGAGGGAGGAGGGGGGAGGGGGAAGAAAGGACGGGAAGGACAAACGATGCTGTTCGAACAAGACAGATGGGCGAATGACAAGTTCGGGCGACTGAAAGAAGGATGACATGGAGGAGAAGTGGATTGACGACACACAGGGTGTAAGGCGAGGACGGAGCAGAGGAGGAGCAAGAAGGAAGCGAGGGTGCTCACCAGTGCGCCTTGCACAAGCTCGTATGACTGGATGGGGGCGCGGCAGGGATAAGTGGCATGGGGGGGAGAGGCTACAGGCGAGGTGGGGGGAGGAGCAAGAGGCGAGGGGACGAGCAGCAAGGGAGAAGGAAGCGAGGGTGCTCACCAGTGCGCCTTGCACAAGCTCGTATGACTGGATGGGGGCGCGGCAGGCACAGTTGGCCCGGGGGCAGGCAGCAGATATGGCACGGGCGGTATCAGACATGTGAGAACGAACATGGCACGGGAAGGGAAGGGGTTGGGGGATGGGAAAGCGGAGAGCGGGTGAGAGGGAAGTGAGGTGGGGCTAGTGAATGGATACAGAAGGTTGTATCGAATTGACGAGATTTGAGACGTCTCACGACGAGATTTGAGACGTCTCACGACGAGATTTGAGACGTCTCACGACGAGATTTGAGACGTCTCACGACGAGATTTGAGACGTCTCACGACGAGATTTGAGACGTCTCACGACGAGATTTGAGACGTCTCACGACGAGATTTGAGACGTCTCACGACGAGATTTGAGACGTCTCACGACGAGATTTGAGACGTCTCACGACGAGATTTGAGACGTCTCACGACGAGATTTGAGACGTCTCACGACGAGATTTGAGACGTCTCACGACGAGATTTGAGACGTCTCACGACGAGATTTGAGACGTCTCACGACGAGATTTGAGACGTCTCACGACGAGATTTGAGACGTCTCACGACGAGATTTGAGACGTCTCACGACGAGATTTGAGACGTCTCACGACGAGATTTGAGACGTCTCACGACGAGATTTGAGACGTCTCACGACGAGATTTGAGACGTCTCAAGACGAGATTTGAGACGTCTCACGACGAGATTTGAGACGTCTCAAGACGAGATTTCAGTCCATCAATCCTTTCACCAGCTCACCGCTCCCCTGCCGCCCTCCGCCTTTCCCCTGCTCCCACCAGCGACCACTCCTCTCACCAACTCAGCCCAAGGACTCGTTCCCTCCCCTTCCCCTTCCCTCCCCGCCCCTCCCCATCCCTCCCCAGTCCCCTCCCAGTCCTTTTTCCCTGTTCCACCTAATGACCACTGCACTCACCAGCTCAGCCAGTGCAGTGGCTCCTCCCCTCCTGACCCCCGGATTCCACCCTTCCCCTCCCTTCCCATGCGCCCCCCCCCCCCCTATCTTGCGCCCATCAGCACCTCCCCCCGGCGAACACTCCACTCACCAGCTCAGCCACGGGACTCGGCCCCGCCCTGGCCGCATTTCCGTCCAAAGCTTGCCCCACCTCGCCGCCCAGCAGCACCTCCCGCATCTCCTCCACCGACGGCTCCCGCGCTCTCCGCTGCCGATCGTACGGTGGAGACGACACGAACTCGAACCGCGGCCCGACAACCGTCTCTGTCGTGCCGCCGTCAGGCGCCGCGGCGACTGCCTGCCTGCCCCTACCGATGGATTTGGCGGCGGGAGCGGAAAAACGCGGGGAGGCGGCGGAGGAGGAGGCGGGGGAAGAGGAGGAGGAGAGTGGTGGGGAGGAGTGAGGAGAGGAGTGGGAAGACGAGGGAGAGTGAGGGGAGGGGTCTGCGAGAGATGCTTGGATTGGAACGAACTTGACTATGCGAATGCCGTTGACGGTGCTGGTGGCGATGGTGGTGCGGCCGCTGCTGCTACCGAGTCGTATATAAGTGTTGGAATCAGGGACGGCGGGGGATGATAGCAGGGGGAACCGAGGGAGGGCGTTTCGGCGTGTGACTGTGCCGAAATGGGACTGTAAGCGAGGAAAAGAAGGAAGGAGGGAGGGCAAACGCAGGGAGTAAGACAGGGAAGCGAACACAGTTGGAAGTCGTGAATACAAGAGGTTGGGAGAATTCCCAACAGCAGGGAGGAGGGTAGGAGAGAAGGGAACGGGAGGAAGGAAAGAGAGAAGGGACGGGGAGGAGGGAAGGAGAGACGGGAAGCGGAGGAGGGAAGGAGAGATCGGAAGGGGAGGAGGGTAGGAGAGAAGGGAAGGGGAGAAGGTAAGGAGTTAAGGGAAGTAGAGGAGGGAAGGAGAGAAGGGAAGTAGAGGAGGGAAGGAGAGGAGGGAAGTGGAGGAAAGAAGGAGAGCAGGGGTAGGAGGGAAGGATAGAAGGGAACGGGAGGCGGGACGCACCGCCAAGCGCGTGACGCCCCTTGAGAGCGACGCAGAAGATGATACGACGCGGGGATTGGCGACGAAGGGCCCCGCAGGAGAGCGAGGCGGGGTGTGGAGGGACTGCGACAAGCCGGCCATTTTAGAGACTGACATGGCGGCGTAACGACGGGCGACGCGTGCGAGATTCGCGATTTCGGAGTGTGCGAACGTCGCGATGTCTACGCGGTGTGGAATTTCGCGGTTTCGATGCGAGTGTTCGTCACGAATTCTATTCACACGCGCACGACTCGAGTAACGTGCACGAATGATCGTACGTTTGCGAATAGGAAGTCACGAGGGAAATCTGAGAGCCGTTGAATACGATCAGCAGGAATGCTGGAAAAAAACGGCAAGAGAGCCGTAGGAGAGTGTTATGGGAAGGATTCACTCGGGTATTCTTCTACCTGCCAGTTTCTCTGGAGAGGCTACCGCACTGTCTGCTGCAGATGAGCAGAGGGGGTGGTGGTGAGGGAGGGGAGCGGCTTGAGGTTTGGGTGCGACTCGCACAAGCACACGAGGAACTCCAGGTGAATGCAGGGTGTAGTACAGACAGAATACAGATCAGCTGCCCAGGTTAGTTGTGGTCGTCGTGACTCCCCAAGTTAGCTCATTGGTTTCGCTTTCGCGACAGTAGCTTTGCTGTCTCTGACCGTCGATTCTGTCAGGGAATAACAGAGTTCGTTGCCCTTTGCAGGGATGACAATCTGGATGATCTGTGCTCGACGCGGTTCGAGAACACCTTCGCTGGCTGGCGAAGCGTTTGACGATTGGCGAACAGGCCTCGTACAAATTTCGGAAATGGACGGAAAGGTCGCCCTCGTTCAATCAAACCGCTTCGACCCTCAAGTGGAACTGAACACACACGTGTACTCCCGGGAACGACTGAACAAATGTGTTAACCATTGCGCGAACACCTGGTCAATTCACCACCATCCAATACATTTTGAGCATCTAGCAGGGTTTTAGGATGACGTGGAAAACCGCCTCCAACCACGGAAAAGTCTCAATACAGCTAGACTCGTCTCACCTGCACGTGTGAGATTGCGGAATGGAACGAATGGCTGTTGTTGCAAATTTCGAGTCAGTATGGAAGGAACCCTTTTGACTTTCTGCACCACTGTACTTCATGCACTCGTAAGTAAAAACATATGTAAATAGAACATTTCCAATACATTTCACTAGGTAGCGTCGTTTTGCTCCCGGTAGCGGCCTCGGTAGCGCTACCGGGCTCCGAGCTCCCTGCACGCCAGACCCCGCGTGCTACACTGGACCGCCCGGAACCGAGCTCGCCAGCCTGTCGGGGGCGGGAAGCAGGCTAACGCATCTCCGGGTCTCCGAGCTGGCTCGGGGAAGCCTGACGCAGCACTCTCCCCACGTGACAGGGACAGGGACCACCGGGCTCGCGAGCCTGCGAGGCCCGGCCCGGGCCTCCGAGGCCTGGTCGGCCTCGCTAGGCCCCCTGTGAAACACCGGGAGCACACCAAGGAACATGCGCGCGAGGGATCTGTTAATGCGGGGGAACCGGAAAAAGGCACCCTGCGAGCCACACCCCCAGCCGGAATCTCTCCTGATAAATTTCGTGCTTCGGTTTCTCCGTGCTGTTTCCTTGAAATATATATCCACACAATACCCTTTCACGCGGGAGAAAAACACTCGGGATACACACACACGTAACAGCCCACGAGACACTCACTCGTAACTACGTTAAGATACAACTCCCCCGTTCTTTCGTGCACCGATTCCGACTTGGTGTATTGGCTGTGTTTATATGTTGTTTTTCCTTTGAACCGGACGACTTATCCTTTTCCGTCGCATCGATTCTACAATAACAGAGTTAAACAACGGCGTTAAACGAAACGTTCGAAAGAGGATGCACGATGCTACAGCTCGAGTGAGTGCTATCTAGTGGACGCATGGCACCCATCCGACGTACCCCTGGGCCGACGGGCGATAAAATGCTCCGCGCGAGGAAGGGGGCAGGTGTGAAAAGAAGAACGAGAAAAATGTTTGAACTATGAATGAAGTGAGTACATATGGGAAACCCTAATTGTGTTGTACCCCTTATGGGATACCCCACTATAGCCTACACAACAGCATAAGCTATATAATGTTCTGACACACCCCCATAGGCAAAGTGGGGGAGAACAAGGGGTCACAAGACCAGTCAAGCAAAGCAGAGCAAGCTCAGGGTGGATCACAAAGTCACCACACAGTCCGAGCACAACGACAAGGCCACAAGGCCAGTTCACATGCAGGAGTATACATATATATATAGAGCTAGACAAGCAAGAGCAGGTATATATATGTAACAGTACAAGCAAGGTCAAGAAGAGAGCAAGTGAGGCAAGACAGGTACAAGACCCAGCTGGGTGCAGAAGCGCTGATGGTCACAAGGCGCAAGTGCCTTGGTGAACACATCAGCAGTGTTGGCCGCAGAGGCCACGTAAGCAAGTCGCAACTGGCCACGCTGCTGCAGCTCACGAGCAAGAAAGTAACGGAGAGCAATGTGCTTCGTTCTGTGCTCCAAGCGCTGCTCTCGACACAAGGCCAGCATGGCCTTGTTGTCTACGTACAGCACTGGAGGAGAACGAGGCGGCTCTCCAAGGTCAGTCAGCAGGTAAGTGAGCCAGCGAAGCTCCTGTGCAGCCATGGCCCCGGCGTAGATCTCAGCCTCACAACTGGAGCCGAGAACAGAGGACGAGCGAGTAGCCCGCCACGAGACAGAGCCGGAACCAAGACTGAAGGTGTAACCCTGCGACGACCGCTGCGTAGCCTGGTCGTCAGCCCAAGAAGCGTCCGCGTGCCCAGTGAGGACCACTGGACTCTGCCCTCCAAGCACTAGCCCCATGCCCGACGTACTGCACAAGTAGCGCAACACCCTCTTCGCTGCAGCCATGTGCTCTGGTCGGTGTCTCCCAGGAGCAACATAGCGTGCAAGAATGCTAAGAGGGTATGCAAGGTCAGGTCGTGTGCAGGTCATCAGGTACATGAGGCAGCCAACAAGCTCTGGGTACGGGCCACTCGACTCTACGGACTCATCCGAAGGCAGAGCTGAGAGCGAGTGGCGAGTAGACAGAGGAGTGGCCTGAGGCGAGGAGTACGTGAAGCCGAAGCGCTGAAGGACCTGCTGCACCATGTGTGACTGAGTCAAGGTAATGGTGCGGCGTGCTCTGTCCCGAGTGATCTGCAAGCCAAGGTAGCTGCGCAGTTCACCCAGGTCTGTGCACGTGTGTCTCTTCTGCAGCTCGGACTTCACGTAGGCTAGTCCAGCCGTGTCAGCTGTGGCAAAGACCAAGTCGTCGACGTACACGAGGACGTAGAACGGCGGCAGAGAAGTGTCGGTGCGCAGAAACAACGACGGGTCAGCAGTAGAGGGAGCAAACCCAAGAGCCGCAAGCGTAGTCCTCAGTGTGTCGTGCCACTCACGCGGTGCCTGGCGGAGACCGTAGACTGGCCGTCGGAGGCTCCACTGGGTGCCAGGAGGGAAAGTCCCAGTGAAGCCAGGTGGACGGCGCAGCCAGATCTCCTCGTGCAGGCTACCCTGCAAGAAAGCAGTACTGAAGTCAAGAGAGTGGAGCTCGTAGTCGCGCTGAGCGGCTATGTGCAGCAGCACCCGAAGAGTGGTCATCTTCGGGGTGGGAGAGAAGGTCTGAAAGTAGTCAACTCCCTGCCGCTGACTGAAGCCACGAGCGACGTACCGCGCCTTGAAGACAGGTGGAGAGCCCGGCGGCCGCTTCACCCTGAAGATCCACATGCCACTGACGATGTTCGCCCCAGGAGGGGGAACCGCGTCAACGTAGGTGCCTGTGGACTTCCAGGACGCCATCTCTGCATCCATAGCTGCCTGCCACTGAGAGGAGTAGGGACCCTCTACGGCCTCCGCGTAAGAGCGCGGAGTCGGGATGTCTAGTGCATCCGGGTCTCCCTCAGGGGCAAGTAGTACGGACGCGAGATGAGGTGAAGCAGCAGCCAGACACCGGAACTCCTCCTGCCTGTCCTCAAGGACGTCCGTGCCAAGAGCACACTCACCCCCGACGGACGGAGGACAGACAGACGCAGACGCAGCAACAAGACCGGCAGCGTAGTCTAGACGACAGCGAGCAGCAAAGTCGACAAGCTCAGCAACAAGCGCAGACGCAGCAGTGGACTCAAAAGAGGGGTCAGTGACGACAGTAGCAAGGAGACGTGTGACAGCAGGACTGGCAGCACGAAGAGAGTCCGACTCCGGGTCAGGAAGAGCAGGAAGAGAGGACTCAGGAGGAGAAGGCAAAGGGGCACGCAGAGGAGCAGTAGACGGACGCAGAGACATCCGGTGCGTGCCAGGGACAGGAGGAGGACGCTGACGCGAACCACGACCACTAGTGCGAGCAGCACGGACAGGCGACGCAGGGCGAGACGCAGGCTCACGACGCTCAGCAAGACCTCCAGTAGGACCAGTGTAGGGAGAAGGAGCGGGCAGCGGGGAGGCCGGCTGTAACTGTAACTGTGACAGGACAGGCTGTGGACACTCTAAGGGAGGAGGAGGACCAGTAGAAGGCGGGAGACCAAGAACCTGCTGAAGGAGCGGAACGAAGTACGGCCTAGGCCGCGCGGCGACTCCAGACACAGCAGGGACAGCACCAGTACCCCCAGCGGCAGCACCAGCGCCAGTAGCACCTCCAGCTCCAGGACCTCCAGCAGCACCAGTAGCACCCCCAGCAGGACCGTCAGCAGTAGCCTCAGCTCCAACACCCTCAGCAGCTCCAGCTCCAGCACCTCCGGGACCCGCGGCACCAGCACCCTCAGCAGCCGAAGAACCTCCAGCCCCAGCAGCACGCCTCCAGCGCCTGGCAAACCACTCGCGCAGCTCCTGTGGAGAGAGGGGCTCCCGCCGAGGCGAAGCACCCGGAGAAACGCCAGGTCCCGCACCGCCAGACAGCACAAGGGGAGGTCCAGTGGCCGCAGGCTCAGCAGCTCCAGGCTCAGCAGCTCCAGACGCAGCACCCCCTGGCTCAGTACCCCCAGACTCCGCACCCCCAGGCTCAGCACCCCCAGTCGCAGCACCCCCAGGCTCAGCACTCCCAGACTCCGCACCCCCAGGCTCAGCACCCCCAGTCGCAGCACCCCCAGGCTCA